GACTTTACAATTTTCCTTTAACTACTTGTGTCCAACATGTGGATATAAAGATATAATTTGATCCTCCAAATTCATGGAAACCCTAAAAAAATTCTAATCAAATCCGTATCAAATACATACACTTATCCGACACTCGAACTCCGGTCCAATTAACACAATTAACATAACTATAATTACCCTACAAAATGCAACTCAAGGTGGAAGTATCAAATCTAGACTTCTAATCTCAAACCCTGTTCCTGCTTCTTAGAGCAAATAAATTAGATCATTCCAAAAAACCATAAGAACAACCCCAAAACATCCCTTCAAGCTTATGTTTTTGCCATTGGAACTCACAGCAGCCATCATCCCCAACCATCAATTTCAAACAACCATTCATCTAACACATCTAGAGAGGAACATGCAAAGAATACATCAACAAGGACTAACAACAAGCAAGCTTTTCATTGAAAATCAACCATGAGTGTTTCTGGAATTCAATGGAATAACGTTTTGCTGCAAACCCAAAGCAAAAGAATACATACCGCAGACCCAAGGAAACAAAGGAAGGATACGATGTCTTCGAGTTGTAAGATATACACAGATAGACCAATATTAACAAAGAAGGAAGAGGAGGAGGAGGATATGAAAACTGGAAAACCAAAGGGAAGTGAAAAGACAATTGCATACTATTGGAGGTGAATGTCGGCTTGTCTTGTTAGGCGTTAGCTTGGTTCTGGGAAACTTAGAAAACTGGGAAACCATTTGAAAATTGTGTACTTTCTAATAAATACAGGGATAATTGCATATACGTGAACCTTGGAAATTGAAGTACAATCCAAATTCTTGGATAAGAGGATTTTAGACCATAGAAGTCGGAAAAGAAAGGTTTATGTGGGAGGCGTTTACATAAAACTATAAATTTGGGGGGTCAAAGCTAGAAAATCTCATTTTAAAAGAGCTTAAATTTAATAATTAATTTTAGGAGGGGCAAAATTGCAATTTAGACACCTAACTAAAAAGTTAAAATGCTTAAATTAAATGTTTAATACTTACGGTCGGTAGCAAATGAGTCATTCTGATCGTGTTTGGATCAGATCATTTTAGGTTGAGTAATTTCAAATCTAGATTAAATTTTTCGGATCGGATATGGTTCGAATTTGGTTCGAGTATATGGTAAATCAGATCGGGTCGGGTATTGGGTCTGGTGATTATTTGATTAGTTGTCTACCGATTCCGATCAATATCGAATTGTTTATTTTTTGATCGGGTCAATATCGGGTCGGGTCAATACCAGATCGATTGATTTTTGGGTCGTTTAATACCGAATCGATTAGATTTCGGGTCGGTCAATATTAGATTGGTTGATTTTCGCTTTAGGTCAACCTTTAGATCAGATCAATTCGGGTTGAATTGATTATGAGTCTAATCAAAATTAATATATAGAATAATTGATATATACTTGTAAAAATATGATTTCTTATTTGTTAATTTTCTCATTTAGGTTTAATTTCAATTATCAATAGTTTAGTATTTTGAATTAAACCGCCATTTAGAGATAATAATCGATAATTTGACATAAATACGATCTTATAATATGTGTTAGAACTTGTTATCAAAATTTTATATTGATCTTATATGAAAAGTTTATAATGAGACTATTTGATAAAGAAATAATTTTTTTATTAAAATTTTTATATTCATTTATAAATTTAATATTTTTATTAAATTTTAAAAAAATAAATAGTTTTATTTGTTAAGTTTTAGTCCTAATATAAGTAAACTTTATATTATTTATTATAAATCTAATATTATTTCTTTTGTTTTAGTTGTTTTCTATTATTTTTTTTATATATCTAATATTTTTATAACAATAAAGATAAGTAAACTTTATTTATTATTGTTTTCAATCTTACAATTAAATTCTTATTTTTATATTCCTCTTAAACTTTCTATTATACTATTATATATAATTTTTTAATAAATTATCAATTTTATTTAAATTAATTTATTATTAAAAATAAATTTTATCGTTTAATAACTTTTATCAACTTCAATTTGTTCGGGTTGCTTTCGGGTCGGGTTAAATTTAGTTTGGGTTAATTTCGGTTTTGGTTCGGGTTAATTTTGGTTCTAGTTGATTTTGGTTTCGCTGAAATTTTGGATCGGGTATAATTCGGGTCGGGTATCAGATCAAATTTATCATATTCGGGTTAATATAAGATATTAAGTTGAATAAATTAATTTGGATAATCAATTCGGATAAATTTGCCATGTCTAGTCCTACACGATCAGCGTTATCGTTCAAAGTACATCTAAATGAGAGAAAAGTAGAAAACAAGTTATGAAAGATGAGCAAAAAAGAAAAGAAAAAATGGGGTCAAAAATATAAAATTAACCAGGATCAAACCATAATAAATTAAAATTAAACATTGTCAATATATATATATATATAATCAGAATCAAATCATGTCAAATTATCTATAATAATAAATACTAGATTTACGGAATCATACTTGAATTAATTGATAGATTTAATCTTTGAGTATATCTTTGGTTGTGATCTTTCAAGAAGATAGAGCTCCTTTAAGTATAAACTCTACAGGGATAAGAGTAAATACGAGATTGTCTATTTGTTGGGATCATAACCCCTTTATAGCTATTTATAACTTTGCCCTCATCAAATTATAAATTCAACTTTAATAGTATTTACACTTTATTTATATATCACCTTTGATACCTTATGACTTTATAACATTATTATTACTTAATTTTTATCAATTTTATGATAACAATATGCATTATAAATATGTATATATAATTGGATTTCAATCCAACAGAAAAATAATAAGAATATATATATATATATATATATATATATAGGTGGTACATAATGTAGGCACAATCAAGATGATGATATGTATTTATAAATTTTACCTTCAATTATTTGATGAATATATATGTTTAAAAGATTAAGACACTTATTGACAATTTTATTTTATTTTTTAAAGAAAAACATAACAAATTATGACGAAATTGACTCAATATAATAGGCAGACTAATTATTTACTCTAATACGATATTAAATATTTTATTTTGAGAACTACGGTATTACTTGGAATTCGTCAGGTTGGCGTGACGAGTTTCAATAAATATATTTTTAAACTGAAACTTATTACTATGATGCGACAAAATTCTAATAAAAATATTTTTTAGAATTTGTCATATCGAAGTAACGAGTTTAATAAAAAAGATTATTTGGCCAAATTCGTCATGTGGGCGTGACAAGTTTTCCCTGCACTATGACAATTATCATATATCCCAAATTAATTTTAAAGATAACTTAATAGACCAATTTTTTACCCACCTGATCTATTGGACCAATTTTACCACAAATTATAACTCTAATAAACATTATAAATCTCAATATAGATCCCTAAATAATTTTAGGAATTTAGATTTATCAAAATGAAATTTTCACTTTTTTCCTATCGTTACCTTTACATTCAACTTTGTATTAAATGCCAAACCTAATGGACAACTACACTAAAAAAAGGACATGATTAGAATATGAGAACTCAACCGAAAACATCATGAAAATTAGAAATCAATTCAAGATTTAAGCTACAGTCCGGCGGTGTTTAATGTAATTAGCCCTAAAAGAAGAAGAGTTAATTGCATTTTAGCACCCATTTATATCAAAATGTATACAATAACCCTTAACTTTCAGAATGCACCCAACGCGCATATTTGAAAAAAATGCTTCACACAACTCATCTTTATCAATAGGTGATATATCATTTAAAAATAAACATCAAATGAATACCTATCATATATATATTTGATGTGCCCTAATTGATATGTAATATGATATTTTTGAGGACTTAATTAGAACATTTCAAAGTTTTTGGACCATTTATCCATCTCTTGATTCTGAAGACCATTTCACAGATAATAATACCACATCAGAAACAAATGAATATGAAGCTCTGCATCCAAATCATCAAACTAAATATAACTTATGCTTCACTGCCTCTATCACATACACTCCAGTAGTTCCTTCCGGCTGTATCATAAAATTGCAACTATATATAACATACTCGTCACATCAGGAATCCAGGAGGCCCCGATATGTCGCTGGTTCCTTCCGTGCTAATCTTCGGCATCAGTTTCCTACAGCCGCAGCAGCATCGCTTCGGAACTGTTCTACAAGGGGAGGTAGCAGGAGTGCAAGCCTAGTTTTGTACCTCACAATTCGTTTTAATCGTTCTTGTCGTAACCTATGACAGAAACAAGCGGTCAGTCATATACATGATCATCTTCTGCGTTCGATTTAGACCAAACCCGAAAGGCACTATTTTAGGATAGATGAAAATCAAACTGAATGCTGGTGAAAAAATAAGTATTGTCCAGACATCCTGTTTCATACTTGTTACATTTAAAACAAAGATGGAAGGTCAATCTACACGAAATAAAGCACATGGTGCTTTCATAACTTCCAACATATGAAATGAGCTATAAAATGAAATATGATGGTAAAATGAATGTATCATATGCTCTTATATACGCCTACCGCAAGACAGAACAATAAACAAGTACAGGTTGATGTTTGGAACTTGAGACGCCGCTGTAAAATTACACCAAATTACGAACAAGGAATTATATAAACTTACCTCGATCTAACCTTCTTAGCCCGATTAATATGCCTTTGCAACAGATCATGTGCTGACAAATTCTCAACTGATTGCTCATCCTAAAACCAGGAAACAGAGGTCGACTCAGTCTAAGAAAGGAAAAACACATATCATATGCAAACAACAAGATTAACTTGAATATAAACAAAAAAGATAGTAAACTAAAATTAGAAGAAAACAGTACCAGTCAAACATCTTAGATGTAAACCTTTAAATGAAATCAAATGAGGTCAAAGAAAAGAGCAAAGGATACTGAACTTCATAAGCAGTAGTAGTGGCGGTGTGTCACTTAAATTTAAGAAAAACTAGACACAGATGAAGATGTGATTTGACATGATAGATTGATGCAGTCTAATGAAACATTCGCATATATCCTAACAATACTGTCACATATAAAAAATTTAACCAGGTGCCAGGACCCTAAAAACTGGATAACTTTATACTCTTCTCAACTTATTTTGATTATATGGGCCAGGGTTCACATCTAGGATGTTAATCGTGATAACGAATTATCACGCACGTATAGCAGTTTTGCATAAAGACAACCGTTTTCAAATACATTTCAGCTCCTATACTTCTCAGCTCAATGCTCTTAGACTAGTTACCATTGCACAGTGACCAGACACTTTAAAGTTCTCTCTGTCACAGACATGCAATACTTTGAAATTTCCCCCAATCATTTTATGACTTGCACTTCGGTGTAGAGGCAGCTGCTCTGAAATTGATGTCCCTTCTATATTTGTAAGACAACACTGCTAAACTAGTTACCATTGCAGAACAACACAAGCCCTCTCTCTCTCTGCACTATACACATGCATGATGTACACACATAACTTCACAAATCTTTCTCATATCGTTTAATAACCTACAATAATTGTTGCTTTGTAAGTATGGCTATCCAGATCATTATCAGAGTCGAGAAACATAATAAAGTGGAAACAGAAGTTGGGACATGCAAAGTGAAATCAACAAAGGAGACGAACCTCCTTTTTATCCTCCTCTACTTGTTCTTCTCTACCTTCAGTGTCCTTTGGTAAATCATCCGTGACAGGTAGAGATAAAGGTTGCGGAAGAGCCTTGAAATATCTCCATATTGGGGCTGCTGAAAAAACTAATATCTATCATAATAGAAAGAATGAAAACAAGAAGCAACTAGATCATTCAATAGTCTCATTTATCGAACTTAAATCTCACAAGGAAACCCACTCCAAGGTACCAGAAAGGAAAAATAAAAGCAAATATCACATTCAATTGAATCACATTTTCTTTGTTAGGTACATGGGAATTCAGTTGTTCCAATACCTTTAATTCAAACCACCACAGCAAAAAATACCAAAAATGTAACTACAATAAATAAACCACTACTAAATGCCTAAACCCTGCTAATTAAAGATGAATTCACGGAAAAGAAAAGAAAATACAAACCTGGGTTTCGTCTGGGAATCCATTTCTCAACCATGAACGGCAAAGAGCATAAATGGAAGCTCCATCTGTATTCTGACCTGCAAGAAAATCAAATCCAAAGGCAATCAAAGAATAGATGTTGAAATGAACTGCAGTAACTGAAGAAGCATACAGGGTAAATAGCTGTGATAGTTTACCTTTCGGTCCCTAACAATGACAAGAGAATCATCTTTGGTTCTCTCCCTGGAGAAAGCAGAGGATATAAGTTAGAAGGGGCTTCAAGGTTGACACGGGATATGCAAACTTTCTTACAGATGAAAGATATTACCTGGCACCTTTATATCCTTTAATTTCAGAAACTGAAAATGGCGATGAAGCAACCTAAAACAAGTATTACAGCTTCAGCTCATAACTTGTAAAAAGTTGAATGTGTAAGACTTTCACATCAAGTGGGGATTCAAGTTTGAAAACCCAAAATCATAAACGTTTAAAAAGAAGAAAAAACCTTAGGATGGAGAGAAGGCGGGAGGCCCTTAAGCGGAGGATGGAAGTAGTATTGGGAAGCGGTGGCGGAGGGGGCGGCGGCCTGGGGTTGTCAAAGGGACGAGAATGAGGATGCTGATGAAAGGAATGATTGGGCGACAAGGGTGGTTCGTTGGAAGGAAACCTTCCCGGAGGAGGCTACCGGGTAGATCACCGCCGCTGCCGGTAACATTGCTGGTCGGGATGTGTATTTGTAATCGTTGTTGTCGTTGGCGGGCTTGGCCCTCTCATACTCATCGTTACTCCTGCTCCTCCTCCTCCTCCTCCAGCTTCCGCGGCTATCGCCTTCGCCCCTGTCGCGTTTGCGCAGCCGCTTGGAGCTCGGATTGCGGTCGTCGGACTGGAGCTTGTGTTTGACATCTTCCTCGCCTTACGCGCCCTGATTTTTTTCAATTCGAAAACCTAAAATTTAAAAGCAGATGATATTATTATAGGACACCCGCGTGGGCGTGACATATCTTTGTCCCTTTCTTGATGTAATTGTGATTTAAGTCCTATTCTGTTTAGAAATATAATTTAATCTTTCTATTTTAATTTTGCATAATCTAATCTTTTCCCTTTTATAAAGTTATTGATATATCATAACCTTCCTAGTTTGTAATGATCTCGGTAATTATATGAACTCAAATACTCAAGTTAATTTTTTATTAAATAATATAAAATATACTAGTAAAAAAATATGTTTGTTTTCTTATTATACTCTTCTTCATCATCTACTATTAGAAAAAGAGTATAGATATAATTAGATTGGATATTTTATTGATCGTATATTTTCTCTCTTTATTTTTTATTCAATTCGAGTTTAATAAAAATTTATCTGACTTAATTTTTTGGGTAAAATCCTACATTTAACTTGATCTGACATGTATAATTCTTTGACTCCACTATTTGTATGCCTCTCTTTCTCCTTTTAACCTTAAATTTACCTAGACTATTGTCTAGGTAAGAGATTTGGGGGAAAAGAAAGAACACACGTGTAATATTCTAAAATTTTGGTTAGTGTCCAAAATGTATTTTGAAAGTCTAGTGGTCAAAGTATAAATTGGAAAAAGTTTATAAACCTAAGTGGAACTTTTTAAACAAAATTTTTATTCTATAATGGATGGTTACTCTTGAGAGTCGGGTTTTATTAAAATTAGATTATTGATTCGTAATTGGTGTTATAAACTATAAAGTGTTAAAGTATGATAAAAAATTGGTAAATCGGATCGAATAAAAATTTTGAGAAAATTTGAAGGATGGTAAATTAATCTTATAAATATTTTCCACATTATTAATGATGAAAATACTATGGAGTTATTTGAGAATAATGTTCATGTTCAATTTGGATCGTTTGATGAAAATGGTAAGTTGAAATTTTGGAAAAGTTGCATGGGCAAAGTTGTAAAAGGAAAATTTTTTCTTTATTTGACTTTATAAATATGATAAGGTTATGGCTTGGTATGGATGTAATTATCAAGTTTCATTAATGGTAAAATTATCATTTCTCATTAAATTAATTTTATATTCATTTAAGCTTAATACATGATAAAATAACTAAAATTTCATGAAAACTTGGTCATTTTCTCCTCCATTTCATGACCTTCATACCCTAGGTAATAGAATTTTTCATTTTTCATTTTTAAGCCAATTTATTAGGGTTTTTTTACTAAGAGCGAAATAAAAAATTGTTCTATTCAATGAGCTTTATCTTTTGGTACCATTATTGCATGTTAATCTTGCTTGAGTTCAAAGATCTCAAATTCTAGGGTTTATGGAATTGATGATATATTTTGAGGTTTTAGATGTTAAAATCATTTCCAAGCTTGTTTGATGATGAAATCATGATCAAACCTCCTAGAAAAACATTTGGTAGTTTCAGCCTAACCCTAAAAAATCAGAGGAATTAATTTGATGAGATTTGATTAGGGCTTTGGTTGTAGAGATTTATAAGGTTGAATAGAGGTTGATTTCATGCTCGAATCAAATCAAAACCAAGTGAAATCATGGAATCCTAGACTTGTACTATTCGACCTTGGCTTTTGAGGATGAGAAAAAATATGAAAAATATTATTTAGGGTCTGAAAATGATGTAAAACTATTCTACAAGCCTTGGAAAAATAGGACCATTTTTAATTTTATGAAAGTTGGGGGCCTATTCAAAAATTATGGAAAATTATGGGATATATGTGTAATGATTCAATAATTGATGTAATATGTTGAAAATTAATGTTTGAGTGCTGAACTGATGTTATAATGTAAATTGGATTATTTTGGAAGTTGGTAAAAGTTGGTGCATAAATCACAAATATGAAAACGCTGAGAACTTAAGTGAAAATGTTATGTGAATTTTGGATAAAAAGGGACTTGAATATTCAATTTGAAGTGTTATGGTCAACAATTATGTGACATGAAATTATGATTGAATGATCACCGAAAGATTTTTAGGAAATTATTTTCTTTTGTGCCTATGTTTTGAATTTGTATATGTTTGTAATGATGCTCATTTAGATTGAGTGCTTGAAATAAATATCAAACAATATTAAAGCTAAGGAAAAGCTTAAGAATTTCTAAGGAATGTTTACAAGCTAAGGACATCATATGAGTGCAAATTTAATTTGTACTTATGTCTTGAGATGAGTGACGGAGTTACTATAGTAAGAAGTGACTCCTAATTGTTATGTGTTTTTATGGTTCATGCATATTTGTTCATTTGGTGAGCTAATAGAATTAGTGAATAAGCTGAAAATACAAATTGGTGAAATCTGCTATAATTATGTTCTGAATAGTAAGTTTAGAAAATCACCATAAATTATACGGAAATGATTAGAGGATGAATATTATATCGTTAGATTCATATATCAGTATAGTTTTGTTTAAAACAAACGACTAATTTTTGAAGAGTATACAAACATATATGAATTTTTAATCGATAATAGGTCATAAATAGGGCAGCAGATTCTGCTCAAAACAGATTCTGTAAGTCAACTTTGAAAATTTATTATAAATTGTACAAATTGAACTAGAAGGAGTGCCTTTTATGGTTAGATTTATATTCAAGTCTGGTTCCTAGTGGTATAAACGGAATAATTTTTTAGTATGTAGATTATAGAATAATTTTATTTGAAGGTAGTGTAAACTGCCAAGATATGAAATTGTGATAAATTTTGGATAGAACCAAAACAAAAACAAATGATCAAGTTAAAGCTTAGTGAAGCTTATATTTTGACTTGTATATAATGTCAAGTGAGTACATTGCATGCATAATATTATACATGGATGTTATACATTATTGGGTAACTTGCGATAAGTCTACCTTATTTATGTTGGCATGATATTTATGTCATTTATCATATATTTGACGCATTCTAAATATGTCAAAGGTTGAATATAAAATGCATTGATCATTGGTTAGTATATATATGTTTTTATGCGTACGTGTATATATATATATATGAAGTTATTTCGGGTATTAACTATCTAATGTGAAATTATATTAATATACTTTGCTATGAATAAAATTAATAAATATAGGATATGTCTAAGTATGTCATTGAGGGTCGGTGGTATTGATGGCATGCCATAGAGTCTAGCAATTGCATATCAGATTAGCACTATAGTATGTAAGGCACTTAATGCAACACTGTAGTGTGTAAAGACACTTGGTGCATATGGTGGACACGACTTTATGTGTATTGGTACTATAGTGTGTAAGGGCACTTAGTACTTATAGTGTGTACAATTATAGTGTGTAAGGACACTTAGTGCATATCGTAAGCATTTCGATGCATATTTGACTCGAATAATGGAGTCCTCATAGGTTTATATTTTGGTATATGGTTTAGTGGTTAATAAATGATAAACAAGCAAATAAGCTTATGGAATAAATGACAAGTATATTGGTAAGAAATTTTATATCCAGTTTATACCTGTTAGTATATGATAACATGGTTGGAAATCAGGTAAAGTGAGCATAATGCATTGAATATTGTCACTCTTTAATTACATTTATGTGTTGCATTGCTTTAAATATTTATATGATTGCCTCACTAAGTCTATACTTAGCGTGATGATTTTCACGCGTAGGTAAAAGAAAACGAGAGGAGTAAGGAGATGATTGGCATCAATCACCAAGGGATAATTATAGGTAACAGTGATAACATCCTATTGTGTTCTACAATTTAGCTGACATGTATACGAGTAGGAAATTTGGAAATTTATAAATGCTTGGTAATTAATATAATTAATAGTTTTAATAAAATTTCGATATTAAACTATGTTTTAAATATTAATTGATTGGATATTAATCAGACAGTTATAGACATTTGTATTTATATGAAACATAGCATAATTGTCTTATGTTGCCTGAACCATGATTTGAAATAGAAGTCGAAATGTTAATTTGATTTTCTCTGATTAACTATTTTAATATAAATGGTTAAAATATGGAATTTGTGAAAGAAACAAAATTTTAACTATTTTGGGTTAAGAAATGTTTTGAATATTTGATGTGACATCTTCAACTCGTAAGAGTACAATATACAAATTAAGGGTGTTACAGCACGAGAATGGGAAAATGACCTAACGATAATTTTTTGATAAGTTGTTTTATATTTCAGTGTCTTTTTCCGTTGACCGTAATTAACTTTTCATGGACCGTAATTGGTTTTCTCCAACTAAACACATGAAAAGGGTAAATTTTTCAGAAAAATAAAGTCTTTGAAACAAACCCGATCTGAGTAAATACTAGATCCACAACTTACAAACAATAAACAATGACTACAAATACAAAATTAAAGATCATGAATTTGTCCTATAATACATGAACTAAAAATATCAAATTAGGGTACGATGATTAAATTCACATTTATGTATAATATAAGGGATTAATAGAACAATTTGACACATATATAATTAGATATTTTTTTAATAATAATTAGATATATTTTTAAAATAGTAATTATGACAACCAATTTATTCAACAAATGCCCAACATGAAATTAAAAACAATGGATGAATGTATCAGTTTGTCACGTAAATGAATTAGGTCAGGCTGCCTAATTCATATATATATATATATATACCAACTAAATTCAACCCTGCAAATGGGTGAAGCAAACAGTATCTTTTGGGACCAATTATCAACAGTTTTATTTAATAATAAGTACTCATTAAAAAGTTAAAGATGTTGAAGTATTTAACTTTATAATTACAATGATTTATTAAGTATTTAAATTTAAAATTCAAGGACACAAACCTGACTCGAGTTTACCTGATTGATTGAAAAAAAAACCATGTTTGGGCCAAGTTTTTTGAAGTGAAAATCAATCGACCAGATACAAAATAATCCTTAAAATTATCAGAATTTATTGCTATTTTAACGTTCTGTGGACCATTTTGTAATCATTT